ATTTTAGTTTTCTGCAACAAGTCACTTAAGTATTCCATCTACTCATACACCCCTTGATAACTTGTTTCTTCTTGTAATTATTAATTCCCCTCACATCCCATGATATAATCTAGCCAAACATTAATTACTGTGCTTATCTACTTCTCTTGCTCCTCCCTCCCCCCTTTTCCCCTTCTCACCCATCATAATTGACTGTTGACGCCGGTCTTCTACCTCTCTAGACCCTCTCGAGCCCCATTCTCCACTTCGCTTTTTTCTTCAAACTCTCCTTCCTCTCTCTTTTCTTCTCCTTTCTATCTCACAGAACAATTCCATAGTTTTGCCCTTCATGCCGTCAGAGGACATCCCCACCAGCCCGTTTAACCTTTTGGACTTCTCAATCATTGACTAAGAATCTTCATCCTCCAACAATTTTTCGGATCTCTCCTCACACACCTCCTTTACTTTTTCTTTTCTGATTTGCAAGGCCAGCCTCAAATTTTCCCTTGCCTCCTCTTCCTCTATCTTTTTACCCACCGACACCGCCTCCATATCGTCCCCACTTCCCCGCTTGGTCCATCATCTTCCCTGTTATCAATTTCCGGCTCTGCATTAAGATCATCATTTTCCTCAACCGCCATCATCATCACCACCATCACTTTGTTGGTCCCAACTTCCGTTTTGGTCTTGGTCACTGAAACGGATTCAGTCCATCCAGCCTTCAAGCGCCAAGAACTACCATTTATTTCTATCATTTCGCCATCTCTGGCACTGGAACCCTTCCCCTCCACCAGATTCACCAGTGCCGCCTCCATCTTTCGTCCTTTGCTCTTTGCTACATCAACATCTTCGAGTCTTAGGGTTTTCTGGGATATGGGTCGTCGGGCTAACTTGACTTTGTTATTAACCCGAAAGCATTGGATGGAATAACCCGACCTTCTAAATCTCAGCAATAGTCCAGCTCAGGCAGCTCTTTTTCTTCCATTGGCCCATATAACGCTTTTGCCCAAGTTGTTAGGCCTTTGAGACGACTTGGCCTACTCGTTCTTGACAATCCACTTGCTTTTCTCTGCCTGGATGTATCTTTGACACACTCTAGCAATTCTACTCAACCCATTACTTAACCCTCATCTTTCGTTAACAGTTTGGTCCAACAACGCCATCCTGGCCCAAACGAACCCTCCCCCCCCCCTCCCCCCAAAATACTGTTGTTTTGATTCTCCAAAATGACTTCCAATATTCATGTTTTGACCACCAGCTTTTTGAAATTTACATCTATCGGGTCTTGAGTCAATATAGACCCACTTCTCTACCGGGCCTCCTCCTTGCGCTGGTCTCCTTAGCACCTCTTTAAATGATCCGCCGTTCTTCACCTCGAACCTTATCCTGATCTCCGTTCTACACCATCGACAATGGATGGTAGCCGATATCACTCCCTGCCCTATATGACCCCCGCCTTGGACAGTCGGCAGCCTCGAGTCCTTCCTATTTTCCTTGCCTGGCGATTCAAGTTTAACCCCAGCTACCTCATGAAGGGCAATCATCATCCCCCACAACGCGTCCACTTGCTCCCCCTTCAGCACTTCAAGCTTCCCCCATTTCTCACTAACATCACTGGATGCCTTTTGTGTCTATTTTGACCTAGTGTCATCCACAATGTGTGCCGACCCCTCCGCCTGCTCCTATTCCATATCCTGCCTCCTTTAACCTAGAAAAACTCCTCAAAGTAAGTCAGCAGGCACTTCACATCTTCATCCAAGAGATATATAGATTTTCAGTAACCCCTGTCATTCTAATAGATCCTTATTCTTCTCCTTCCCCGGCAACATCAAAGGTTTTTGGCTCAATCAGAAACCTCCTATCTCTGGATGTCATTTTTGTACACCTCTAGGCTTTGCGGCGCAATGCCACTTCTCTTAGATACCCCTACTCCAAAACCCTAACCTCTTAAAGACCTAGCTTCTCCTTTGATTCAGCCCCTCTCTACTGCCTTGAGTGCTCCTCTCTATGACAATCCCTCCTCTCTATGACAGCCGCTTCTCTCTACGACAGCCTGTCTATTTGGCTCGACTCCTCTCTTTCGCCTCGACCCCTCCTCTTTGCAACAGGTCCTCTTTATGGCAGCAAGAAGGTGAATTTTATATACTCATAGCCTGATGTATCTTAATATTTATAACTGATGTACCTTAATATTCATTCTCACTTGCAACTATAAACATCCAGAAAACTAGAACTGCAACTATAGTGTCTATGTTTGATTCAAATATCAGTTGTATTAGCATGCATAGTTGCAAATGGGAGGAAGTAATTGTGAAATGGGAGGTCTTATTTTCATATATCAAGGAAGACAATAGGAATGCCAGTGAGATCTAGTCTTTGACCGTGGACAGAGCATCAAGGAATCTTTGGGAGCAATGTTATACAAAGAAATTTAGAATTTTGTAATTTTTATATTTACTTTCTTTCTTTTGGTGTACTTTTTAATTCTTCATCTCTATGTATTTTGTAAATATTATAATTATTAAATTTTTATGTACTAATGAAAATCTCCTATCAGTTGTGGCAATAGCTAGGTTTTAGAAATGCATACATGACACAGTTAGTCAGTTAGTCGCGGTGCCTTGCATCTTCCTATCCTTTACCACTTTGAACCTTAAATTTCTAATTCTCACATGTGCATGCCTTAATGACATATTTCGGTTCCAAGAGGATAAGTGACCATTTTAAAATATACCATTTTTATAGAGTTTTGCCTCTGCTTCACCGTTGTGGCACAACTGAGCATCTTGTTGCTTCACTATTAAAAATTTAAATTTTATAGTGATAGGTTTTTCATTTATTTGGTTCCTTATTTCACCTTATTACTAAATTTAATGGGTTGCTTGTTTTATGAAAGATTTGATTGGTTGATTGGTTTAATGTTCAAACTTGTAGTTTTGGCAGGTGATGGCAACGAAGACACTAAGATTGAAGGAGAAGAGATTTCAAAACTTGTTTTCAAAGCATCCCATGAAGCTAAACTTAAGGAGCTACTGCACAATGTTAATTCCATTGAGTTTAAATTATACTCTGATGCTACAAAAGAGTTCATTAAGTTACTTAGAGGCGAATCAGGAGCTGAATTGCTCCATCTCTATGTACAGAGTTCATCCAAGTTGATAGAGCTTCTAGAAGCATGGAAGCTTCAACAAGGAAAACCTGGAATGTCATACATCTTGTCTCTAATATCGGCTATTTTGAGTCATCCGGATGGGAAATATAAGCTGAATGATAGGAATAATATTGGTGTTAGTAGGGTTATTGATAAATTCACTCGCTTGCTTGTTGAAGAAAAATTGGAGGATATATACAAGGAATTGAATAGTAAGGAAGGGAAACGCCAAAATGCTGCACTTTCGTTGTTGGCATCAATGGTTAGGCGTGGTGCGGGTCTAGCTTATGAGATTGCAAAGAAATTTGATTTCAAAATTCAGGGATTTTCAAAGCTTGCAGAGTATAAGCGGAAGAATGCTGACAACAAAAGGAAGCATTCAACCAGAAAGGCATTTGTTGGTTTTGCAATGTCTTTTTTGGAGGTTGGAAAACCCGGATTATTGAGATGGGTTCTGCAGCAGAAGGAAATGTATTCGGGCGTCCTCCGTATGCTCAATAATGACGATGAGGAGACTATTATTCTTGTTTTAACTGTACTGCGGGATAGGATTCTTACCAGAGAGTCACTGATACCACCTGGTCTACGGAGTGTTCTCTTTGGGAGTGTCACTTTGGAACAGCTAATTGGCATATCTGCAAGAGAGGATTGTGGACCTGCAGCAGAATTGGCTTATAATGTTTTAGTTGTAGTTTGTACGGATCCTTGTAATGGATTAATGCCAGATTTAAAGAGACGTCCAAATCCATTGAGAGGTAATCCAAGGAGATTATTGGGGCTCATGAAGAAGCTAAAAGCAACGGAAATTGCTTATCACAGAGACTTACTTTTGGCCATTTTTAAAGGAAGACCATCTTTAGGTTCAGCATACATGAGTGAATTCCCTTACAACCTTGAAGATTACACATCACCCACCTGGTCAGCTTTTTTATGTGGCATAAAGTTTCATATATGTTTATTCCTTTTCTTTTTCTTCTGAAAAGATTTTATGTTATTTGCTTATTTCCCCCAAATTGTTTACAGTTAATATTTATTTTTATAAAGATGCATGGTGACTGAAATACTTGCAGGTTTCCTACTGTTTCTCTGGCAGCAAGCTTGATTTCTTCAATGGGCATGTGCACTCCTTTTGACCTCCTTGCTTCTCAGTCTTATGATGTAGCTTCGTCTGGTACTGCTAATGTGCAAAATATTATGAGTTGTATTTGTCCTCGTTCATTGAGCCGAACAGTAATCAATAAAGGATTGCTTCATTCTGATGTCCTTGTAAAGCATGGAACTTTGAGACTTCTTTTGGAGGCATTGAAGTTGTTGGATTCTTTAATTACAATGTTAAACTGTCATTTTGACTCAGATAGTCAGATGATGCATAATTGGGGTTCTCTTAAGCAGGAAATTCAGAACGAAGCACGGAGTTTGCTTCCTGATTTTCAGGTTTTGTTAACTTTACTTTCCTCACTTAGTGGCCGTAATAGAAGTCAAAAGTTGAGTCTAAAGAGAAAAATGAATTTGGAAAAAGATTGTGAGCATAGCAGTAAAGTCACAAAGAAATCAAAAAAGGATGGCATGAGTGAGAACGTGGATATCATCATAGGAGGGATGAGTTCTGCACTTCTGCCAGGGGATGATGAACAAATTGTTGATGCACTTATTATGGTTGAGTCAGACACTAAAAAGGAATTTGTGAATGTTGTTTCTGAGATTTGGGCTCTGGATCTATGCTCCTTCCCTATTAGTTCACCAGAAGATGCAGAGATATACTTTCAGTCCAAGCTTCTTGATGCTCTCAAAATTTACCTTGTAAGTTTTTTTTTTTTGAAATAAACCTTATAAGTTTTTAATCTTATAAATATAAATTACCAGATATCACAATGCTATATTACTAACAAGTGCTATTGACATTTTTGTTGTGGTCATTGGAATGAGTAGTTTCTTTAGATAAAAAGAAATAGTATCAGGGAATTCGTAGTTTCTTGATCAACTGGTGGCTAATGTATATGAAGTGAATATTTTTTTTTTTGAAGTAAAAGATAAAAGTTTCATTATTCACAATGGTATTAAAGGAATATTACCCGTGTATAAAGTAATTACATATCTATTAAATGGTCAATAACACACCTTATATCTTTTCAATCTAATATGTCGTGACTTATCAGAATAGAATAAAAAGCATGAAACCATCTATTCTTAATGTTTACAAAGTCCGTTTCAATTCCCCAAAAGCTCTAGCATTCATTTCCTTCCACATAACCCAAAAAATGGTAAGTGAAATTTAAAATAAATATTTTTTCTGTTTACAAATACCTGCCTAAGCCAACAACTCTTTACTTACATTACCCGCCATTACCCAACTCACCCCCAACCACCCGAACACCGACATCCACATGCTGTGTATAACCAGGTAAAATAACAAAATATGGTCGCATGTCTCCTCATCAGCCATGCATAAGTAGCACCGATTAACAAGATTGTTGCCTTGCCTCTTTAACATATCAATAATCAAAATACTTTCTTTTGAAGCTTCCCAAGTAAAGAAAACCATCCTAGGGGGAGCTGTAGTTTTCCAAATTTGTTTAAATGGTGCAGCCATATCATTCCCACCGTCCCATATAGAAATATAATTGTAGTAAGACTAACCGAAAACCCATTCTTCTCATCCAACTTCCAAATACTCTTATCCCTCCGGTCTTCCATTTTAATTTCTGCCAAAACATTGAGTAAATTGCAATGCACTCCACCCCTTCCCCCACCACCATTCCCATACACCTTATCCACCATTATATCCCTCTCACAAGCAATACTATAAATGCTAGGGAACCTTATCCACCATTATATTCATCCTGCCAGAACCTCACACTCCCACCATCCCCCAACTGCCACCCCATACAATCCCAAAACCTGCTGCCACCTCCACTGATTTTCTTCCATAAGCTCATCCCATGTGGTTTAAACTTCCTTCTCTCCCTCTATCTCGCTCCCATTCCCATCTCACTCGCCACCTTTCCTTCCATAATTTACTTTCCTCACTACAATACCTCCAAAGCCATTTCTCTGAAGTGCAACATTCAAATCCACAATAGATCTAAGGCCCAAGCCCACCCCTATCGATAGGTTTCTTCACCTCCTCCTACCTCACCAAGTGATATTTTCTACTCCTTTCATCATCTCCCCAAAGGAGTCTACATTGGATCCTTTCAAGTTTTGAAGCAATGGTAACCGGAATAGTTAATATAAAAAGACAGTAAATTGGTAGGTTAGCTAAAGTACTTTTGATCAAAGTAAGTCTCTCACCTTTTGACAAAAAACTCCTCTTCTACCCCGTAAGTATCTTCTCAACCAAGTTCTAACATTTTTAAATTTTGCCCCAAGAGGAAGCCCAAGATATTTGATGGGCAACGTAGTAATTTTATAACCCAACACCCTAGCCATCTCCACCTCATCCCTTCTATCCCCAATCCTAACCATTTTCGTCTTTTTCTTGTTGATTCTCAAATTGGACACCATTTGAAAACAAATTAAAATACATCTCAAATGGAGCAAAGAGAATAGGTCCGGTTCGCAAAAAATGAGTGCATCATCAGCAAAAAATAAGTGTGAGCTCTTCACCCTAGAATCCCCAGCCCCCATCGAGATGCCTCTCACCAAATTAAGATCACCAGCCCTCTCCATAAGCTTACTAAAAGCTTCCATAACAGTAAGGAAGAGAAGAGGCGACAGTGGGGAAAATATTCTTTTGTTCAGTTATAACCTTGTACCCTAACTAACTTTTGCTGGTAATCACAGGTGTTAAATCTCAACTCTCAGTAAATAGAGTTTGGTCCTGGGGCTTGTTTCTAGTTTTATATAGGTTTGACACTAAGTTTAATTATTTTCTGTTGGCTCAACATCTGAATCAGAGTTAATGGATTTTGTTCAAAATTTTCTCGGTGATTAGGTGTTTATACTAATACTACTCTACTACTTTTCACTTCAAAAAAAATTTTCTCAGTGAACATAATAAGCAGACAATTGTTTGATGCAATGCATATATTTTTGTTTCAGTTGAATGTCCATATTATTTCTATAGCATACAATTAGGTGAAGTTTTGACATGTATATGAAGCGATGCTGTAGTCATAAATATTGATGTAATATGGTGTTGCTCTAATCATTTAAACCTTTATGGGTGGAGAATAGTACTATTTTCTTTTTGCAAGAGCAGAAAATATTTCATATTTGTTAAAAGTTGTACCAATTATTTGATTTTGTTCTTTAGACATGATCTTTACATTTCTATTTTGCAATCATAATCATTCTATATTTCTATGTTGTTTCAGATGCATCCATCCCATATTAGCTTGTTGTACTATGACCGTGCAGCATTGATATTATGTGCCTTCAGCTCACAAATAAATCTGTGACATCTGTGCCGTAGCCAAATTTTAGTTCTGAAAATAATTGGTCAAACCTTTGATCATTTGGCGATTAAATTTTATACTCTCTAAAATGTACTTGAGTTCTATGTTCCATTAAAAATAAGGAGTTTTTCTCTTAGATTGTATTCTATTAATTAAGGACATGTTTACTGGCATTAATTATTAAGATCTTCTTTGTTAATTTTGGTTCTCAAAAAGTTATGTTGAATCTTGTGCAGCGGACTGTGCACAATGTGTTGGAAGGTTCATTTGATTTTTTTATGAATTTTCTGAGCAACCCTCTAGCATTATCAGCTGGTTTGCAGCGCTCTTTCTTGTCTTTGCTGAACGAATACGTTGGATGGTCTCCAGGGAGTGGAATTTCCATTAGACCCCCACCTCTGATGTACAAGCATTTGCAACCATTTATTAACTTGTTAATTCTGTCACCAGCTTCTGACATCAGAGATCTAGCATATAATTTGGCACGAGCAGCTATGTTAAGTACTGGTGCCTTTGACAGAGATCTAAATGAAGTTGGTGCATGGTTTTTATTTTTACCTGGCTATAGTCGACTTCTAGTCGAAGGGGTAGATGCTGCACAGAGCTTGTCTTCAGTTGTTGTGTCATTCTTATGTGATGCTGTTTCTACGATTGGGAATAATTTATTCAAGTATTGGGATCTTGTCAGGCACCATGTTTCCCGTTTGAAAGGTTTTAAAGGTATTTGGTAACTCTTGCAGACTTTTGTTAAATTATGTAGGTACTTATGTGCCTTTTATTTGTCAGTTGAATTTATTTTTGTCAAGAGCAATTAATTTATATCTATCTTACTTTCTTTTGTTGTATATATCTCAATAGTTCAATATATCTGGATTTTGTCTGACGAAAAATCGAAGGGCTATTGTTTTAGAAACCAAATGGAAGGTTTTGTTGGCTACAAAAATGTTCCATGTTTTTGGGTCTTTGAATGCTAGTTTTGTTCTTAGTTATCTGAACACATAAGTTTTCCTAGTATGACAATTAATCCACTTGTAGTTTCTTTCTCCCATTCTTAATTGGTTCATATTTGACTCCTAAATTTTGAACTGATAGATTGTAGTCTTGGTGGTTTTTTGTTTTTCTGACCTCTCATTCCTTGCTTGCTCATCAATAACCAATCAGTTATGGATTGTGCTCTAGATCCTTATTAATTTTATTCAAAGGTCATCATCAAGTTATGAATCCTGATCTGCAGCAGCCCCGTATGATAGGTTAAAAAGAGTATTGTACTTAGCTGAAAAATTGTTCAAATGATATAATTACTGAACTTCCTTTTGCAGGCTAGTTTAGTGAAATCTAATTGCAATTTTCTCCCTGATTCCTGTTATATTTTTGAGTGTTTGGTGTGAGTTTGTCCTTCACTTATAGAAGCACGATAAAGCGTGGGGGGTCTTTTATGATAGATTTTTCTGGTCCTTTTTCTGGCAGGTGTATCTGCTGATTTCAGTCCCCTTATTGTATGTGTCCTGCTTAAGGGTACAAGGTTACTGAGTTCCGAATCCAAATCTTATACTTTACCAGAAAAGTCAATTATATCACTATATGTGTCCAATACTTTAAAGTATCTCTTGCAAACTCAGGTACATATTTTGAATTTTTACTTTGTAATTCCAAGCTGTTTGTGAGTGTATAATGAGAGAACCGAGTCTTGATAGGTGGATGCTGGATTGTTATCTGCTTTGATTCACTCAATTTTGTCTGAGAGCTGTTTGGTTACTGATGATTTTGGGGATTCAGTTTGTGAATGGAGGCCATTGAAATCCTTGTTGGACTTTTCACAAAATGTATTACATACAAAAGCTTGTTGCTTTTTCTCTTCTGGCAGAGAAGCTAAGGCTGCTGATAGCTCTTTTGCAAGTACACTTGGTGAAGTGAAAAAGATTATAAGAAATGATCATATTGATGAAATGGCTGAAATAATTAAAGCCTTTTCTTCTGCAATGTTATGCACAACGGCTGATGAGATATTGAAGAGCTTTCCACAGGTCATAACCATATGCCGGACACTTTCTGGAGTTCCTACTTCATTATTATCGTCAATAGTCTTTCTAGAGCAAACACTTTTTACACGCCTTTCTAAGTTATGGCCTGAAATGTTTTCATCTGCTTTGGAAATGGCTGTATTGATGATCCATCATGAAGGCAAAGAAGATGGCACATGTGGTGTTCCTGGTCGTTCTTTATCTGCTGAAGAAACGGTAGATATTGATGGGATCCACTCTGTTGCCTCTGCATTTTGTTTCTTTCTGAAGCAAATGCCTTTTCATGTGTTATTTCCTGCAATTATAAGTGTTGATATTCTTTGGTTTTTGGAGCCTTCAAAAATTAAGAACTTGCTTTTGGCTAGGATATCCGAGTGTGCAACTGATTGTCTCCTTCCCTATATGCGCCTTGTTCTATTTTGGTTTTATCAAGTGCGATCATCTTACATAATTGAACCATTGGATGGACTCAGACAACTTTCTGAAATTTGTTTGGTTCTCCTAAAGCACTTATTATCTCAACTATTGGTCTTGAAGCCTGATTCTGAATATTCTAGAACTGCTCCAACTTCTTTATCAGCTGAAAATATTCAAGTGGCTTCGATCATCTTCCATCATCCCATTGTGATAGCGTCATTGTCCCATCCTTTTAGTTGTGATAAGGAATTTACAGAGGGAAAGATTGAGGTTAGTTTGAAGACTCTTCTGACTTTATGCAAACAGAATGTTCATGAAATAGATCATCATGTCTTGGATCTGTTGACAGCAACATGTGAAAACTTCTTGTCCCACTGCCAACGTTCTATTCCCAAATTTGAAGGTGGAAAGAAGCCATTTATAAAAGCTTTTGGTTCCCTGGTCCAAATGCTACTTCTAGAATTCAGGAACAAGTTTGATCTTTGTGTTGGGACTGAATGCTTGATGCCTCTTCTCCCAGCATTTTATGCTGTTCATGCTTTAATTCAATTCATATCCCCTTTTCGGCTTCTTGAATTAGTGCATTGGATGTTAAATAGAGTTTGTGGAAATGAATCGTCTGTTGAAAGCTCTTTCAAGATTTCTCTTCTCTCTATTGGATTTTGCATTGTTGGTGATGCTTTTGAAATACTGTCCATATATTTGCATCAGCCTGTTTCGAAGAGAGCAGCTTATGAATTATTTTGGGAAATTGCAGGGAACAACTTTGATAGTGATCTTATTGAGGGAATCTATGTAGAAGTATGTAATTTTGCCACCAACTTTGAGTTAGATTTTGCAGATGTTTGTTTGCTAAAAGTTGTTAATGCTGTGTATGGATGGAAAAATGTTCAGCAGCATAATCTTCATCAATTAAGCTTAGTGATGTCAAGAGCTATCCAAAAAACTCCTGTAGAAATTGTCTCTCACTTTATTTACAGAACAACCATAGTAAGAGCTAAATTTTTGTTCCTTTTGAGTGAGATGAGTACCCTGCATCTTTCAATCTTTGGGCATTTATTTCTAAGTTTTTTGAAGCAAGGTTCAATTAATCAGGGAAGTGCGAAAAAAGGTTCACTTGTTAAGTGCAGCATAAAAGAAGATACTCGTAGAGATGCTCTTAAAGATGCAGAGTTTATGATGCTTCTGCCTACTGCTGTATCATATTTGAATTCAGTGCGTGTGAAATTTGAGAAGAATTTAAAGCATTTTGTAGAGATCACTTCTTTTTATTCAAGGACGATATTAAATGGTTTTCTTAACTGGAGGGCCTTTGTGTCTTGCTATATATTTGAGGAAGAATATGATGAACTCTTCACGTTGTCCACTGAGGAACTTCTCCATTGTGCTGATAGCAGTCTTCTCATGAAAGCAGTTCGTATGTTGCAATATCATTTTGCATGGAGTGGAGATTCAATGAAAATGAAGAGGCGGATAAAGCTATTTAATTCTATTTTTCCTTGTTCAGATGCAACTGATGATATGCTGGACTGTGATGTTGATGAGATGGAGTTTTTCTCAATTAACAAGTTGTTAAACGTCTTCAATATGCTTGTTGCCAAAGTAGCATTTTCTAAGATGTTATTATTTCCAGAGGATAGTCAGGTTTGCTCTCTTCCAGATGAAGCAGATAAGAATTTGGAGGAAATTTCTCTGGGAACAGGGTCTGCTATAGAAGATTCATTAAGGATGCGATTTATGAACATTTTGGTGGGTACATGGAAATGTATGGTCAAGAAATTTACTTCAGTTTCTGATGGTCCCATGGAAGGAAAGAGTGCAGATCATCTGCGGCTTCACAAATACTTTCAAGATTTCATCTTGAGAAGTATTCTTGACTTTACCACAAAGATGCACAGTCATCTTATCCATTTGGAGTCTGTTCCCTTCTTAGAAGAGTTGATGAGGTGTTCTCTCATCTACAGGTTTGAGGACCCGGCAACATTGAAAATACTAGGAAACATCCTATCTCTGCTCTCTGATGGAAATTTTTCACGTGATTTATATCTTCAACTGCTGCTTGCTCACTCTCAATTTGCCTCGTCACTCCACTCTCTCAGAAAATCATTTGGCTCTTATACTGGTACTTTTCTCAGGCCAATGTCCAGCATTCTGACATCATTTGCAATTGGTCATCCTAATTCAAGTGCAGGAGAAGGCAAAAGTGATTTGGCAACATCTAAGATTTATGCAAC